TACTCCTCGCGCGCGCGCGTGCCTGAGGCTTCCCCCTCTTCCTCCCCCTCCCCCTGCCCCCTTCTTCGCACCCTACCCCGCGAGAGATGTCCCTGTCCATCTCCACGGCCCCCCTGTCGCCGGGGTCCTCGTCCTCGCCGACGACCCCGGGGGCTGCGGTGGCGGCGACCGGATCTCCCTTCCCCGACTCGGTGACCTCGCCCCTGCTGGCGCGGCCCCCCTTCCCTCACACGCCACACCGCCATGACTCCGAATCCGAGGATGAGGTGGTCCCGATGACGCACCAGCCCTTCCTCCCGCGAGGCAACGTCAGCAACCTCTTCCGCAAGGTCAACAGCCTGCCGGAATGGGTGCGTCCCGGAGCGCACGCATGTCCCGTCGCGATGTGTGCCTGGGCCTGCTCCGCCCCTCTCTGCCTCCGCCCGTCGGGGGGGGGTCTCCTTTGGCGGGCTCTTGCCCGCTCCCGCCCTCCTCTCTCCCAATGGGGCGTCCATGCCCCCCCCCCCGATCGGAAACCGCCTGTCGACCGCTTCCTCACACCACACTATTGCTCCCCGCTCCCTTCCTCCCCCCCCCCCCCCCCTCCCCATGCGGCTTGGCATCGCAGTGCGCCGTCAGTCCGGCGGTGGCCAACACCTTCAGTGAGCTGGCCGACCGGTCGCTGGATTCGCTCATGCGCACGGCGGCCGAGCTGGACCTGGCCACCATTTCGGCCCCCCCGATGCCACAGGCTCTCGGATCGGCTTCCTCGCCGCCGGTCATCGCGGCGGTGGCCTCGCCGCTGATGGTGGCCCTGGCCAAGCTGATCCCGCCGGATGACAGCCGGCTGCTGTACGACGCGGACCAGCATGCGCACCGCCTGCGCGCGGCCGGCACTCCGATGTCCGGGCTGTCGGTCAATCCGGATGTCTTGCGCCGGACCGCCGGCGAGTATGACATCGGCTGGATGGTCAAGCCGAACCCGGTGCACCGGTCCGACCACCCGGGCGCGCCGCCCAACGCCGAGGCCGCCGACGCCGTCCTGGCCCTGGTTTGCGCGGTGCGTGTACCTTCTGTTCCTCTGCCAAGCAAAGGCCAGGCGGGGGGTGGGGCAGCGGAGGGGGGAATGGGAGACATTTCCTGCTCCTCTGGTGGCCGGGCTCGCTTTTCCCCTCCTTTTCCCGTCCTTTTCTCTCTTTTCCTCTCTTTTCCTCTCTCTCTCTCTCTCTCTCTCTCTTTTTCTTGTCCTTTCCCCCCCCCCACGGCCGATGTCTTTCCCCCACTCATCGGTATTCCCTCCCCCCCCCCTTCTTCGCGGTCCTCCCGATCGGCAGTGTTTGGAGTCGGTCTTGCTCAAGTTGATCCGGGTCATTGAGACCAACGTCTCGCCGAGTGCCCGCGGCCCGGCCTGCGGCGCGGAGAGCTCCTCCGGCCACATCATGGTGCGTCCCTTTGCAGCTCATGGCACTTGGCTCCGCATGGCTGCCGCCCTCGCTCTCCCGCTGTCCCCCCCCCCCTCTCTCTCTCTCTGCCAAGTTCCTTCTCTGCTTCCTTGCATCTCCACACCTTTCCTGCCCCCGATCTGGTCGCACCGCCGGCCCTTGCCAACTCACGTAAACCCTCGTCATCCACACGCAACCGCCATGGCGCGCAGATCACCAGCGAGCTTGTGACCGATACCCTCTCCTCGCGGACCGAGATGAAGGCCCTCTTTGCCCGCCCACACGATGCGGTGCGTCCTGTGGCACCCCCCCCCCCCCCCCC